TGAATGAAATGCTGTAAAGATGAGACATCAGGGCTGGAGGGGAGTGGTCCTTACATTCGGCATTAAGGCAACCAGAACGCGTCAACGCCTTCCAGCAGGAAGTGGTTATAGTCGGCGTACAGTCATGATCCAGGGTTCCTGCAAATCCTTTAAAATCCTGGTTTTAAAGAAACAGTTCCAGGCTTCACACCTGCATCTCCAACACACATCATCATTCAATGATTATTTCACAAATTGATTAATCTGGACATTATTTTTTGGATTAATTGATTAATAATCGGATAGTGAAGGGTTCCTTAAGGAACAATTTTTACAAAATGAAACCAGGTGAAACTAAAACTTTACTACTTGACGAGTTCTGGATAGAGCAGATTGAAAGATGAAATGCTTTTTATCTAAACTTTTTATACATTTCCTTACAATTAGGGATGCACGATATTGGGATTTTGGCCGATATCCGATATTTTAAAACTCATGTAGCCGATAACCGATATCGATACCGATGTTAAAGCTGGACAAAAATAAGTAGTCATTGAAAATAGCTGTTTTGTTATCCATTTCTGACACTTTGAAAAATAATAAACTCAAATATATTTTCATATGCTGATATCAAATAGATTTTTAAAAACGCGGTATCGATCTATTTTACTTTCAAAATCTGGTGAAATTTCATCGTTCTGTTACAAACTCTCGTGATATTTTGCAAATTCTTGCGAGATTTTGTTAGTAAAATAGATAGATGCCACGTCAATATATCAACATATAAAAATATGGCAACATTTGGTGGATTTTCGGGGGATTTCGTAGCATAACGATGACATATAGCAATATTTCATTAGTAAAAGAGATTGATATGGTGTTTTTAAATGGCAATATATCAGCATATGAAGATATTGGGATATTTTAATGGATCAATATTTTTTCCCTCGTCTTTAGAAGTTTTTAAGTCTGTAAAAAAGAAGTTTTTGAGGAAGAAGAAGAAGTAGTATTTTTTATTTTTTTTTTAGACTTTAGAAACTCAGAAGCTGATCAAATATCGGGTTAAATATCGGTGGGGGGGCCGATGTCCGATATTCAGTTTTAAGGCCGATACCGATAGGGGGCCCATTATATCGTGCATCCCTACTTACAATCTTGCTAAAAGTGGGTCACTCTGTCAGCTTGTTTTAGAGACTCCATTAAACGATTAATCAATTACTAAATTAGTTAACGATTATTTCAATAATTAATTAATGGGATTAATGAAGCTAGTAGGAGGGACAGCTGTTGGACGATGGGGAGAGAAGTTACACAATCGACTTTAAAATAAAAAATAATCAAAGTCATTATTAATATTTCATCTTTAGAACATTTGCGTTGAACCGATACCAGACTTGCTCAGTATCCAAACATCAGGAGGAAACGGTGTTAGTAACGCCATGAAACAGCAGCAGACCTACTGATAGAAAACTCACTGCTGTATCCTTCATCTCACTATTCAGTCATCAACAATCCCACATTTCCCCGCTACTCAACTTTATCCAAAAATTAAAACAAAACATATTAGGATGTTTTTTTTTAGCTTAAAATAAAGATTCCAGGCTGGAATTCATCACCCTCATTTTAGACTAAGATCTATATACAGGTGCTGGTCATAAAATTAGAATATCATGAAAAGTAGATTGATTTCAGTAATTCCATTTAAAAAGTGAAACTTGTATATTATATTCATACATTACATACAAACTCATATATTTCAGATGTTTATTTTGTTTAATTTTGATGATTACAAATGACAACAAATGAAAATCTCAAATTCATCATATCAGAAAATTAGAATATTGTGAAAAGGTTCAAAATTGATGGCCCCTGGTGCCACACTCTAATCAGCTAATTAACTCAAACCCCCTGCAAAAGCCTTTAAATGGTCTTTCAGTCTAGTTCTATAGGCTACACAATCATGGGGAAGACTGCTGACTTGACAGTTGTCCAAAAGACGACCATCGACACCTTGCACAAGGAGGGCAAGACACAAAAGGTCATCGCTAAAGAGGCTGGCTGTTCACAGAGCTCAGTGTCCAAGCACATTAATAGAGAGGCGAAGGGAAGGAAAAGATGTGGTCGAAAAAAGTGTACAAGCAAGAGAGATAACCGCACCCTGGAGAGGATTGTGAAACAAAACCCATTCAAAAATGTGGGGGAGATTCACAAAGAGTGGACTGCAGCTGGAGTGAGTGCTTCAAGAACCACCACACACAGACGTATGAAAGACATGGGTTTCTGCTGTCGCATTCCTTTTGTCAAGCCACTCTTGAACCACAGACAGCGTCAGAAGCGTCTTGCCTGGGCTAAAGAGAAACAGGACTGGACTGCTGGTGAGTGGTCCAAAGTCATGTTCTCTGATGAAAGTAAATTTTGCATTTCCTTTGGAAATCAAGGTCCCAGAGTCTGGAGGAAAAGAAGAGAGGCACTTCATCCACGTTGCTTGAAGTCCAGTGTAAAGTTTCCACAGTCAGTGATGGTTTGGGGTGCCATGTCATCTGCTGGTGTTGGTCCATTGTGTTTTCTGAGGTCCAGGGTCAACGCAGCCACATACCAGGAAGTTTTAGAGCACTTCATGCTTCCTGCAGCTGACCAACTTTTTGGAGATGCAGATTTCATTTTCCAACAGGACTTGGCACCTGCACACAGTGCCAAAGCTACCAGTACCTGGTTGAAGGACCATGGTATCCCTGTTCTTAATTGGCCAGCAAACTCTCCTGACCTTAACCCCATAGAAAATCTATGGGGTATTGTGAAGAAGAAGATGCAATACACCAGACCCAACAATTCAGAAGAGCTAAAAGCCACTATTAGAGCAACCTGGGCTATCATAACACCTGAGCAGTGCCACAGACTGATCGACTCCATGCCACGCCGCATTGCTGCAGTAATACAGGCCAAAGGAGGCCCAACTAAATACTGAGTGCTGTACATGCTCATACTTTTCATGTTCATACTTTTCAGTTGGCCAACATTTCTATAAATCCTTTGTTTTTATTGGTCTTCAGTAATATTCTAATTTTCTGATATGATGAATTTGAGATTTTCATTTGTTGTCATTTGTAATCATCAAAATTAAACAAAATAAACATCTGAAATATATGAGTTTGTATGTAATGTATGAATATAATATACAAGTTTCACTTTTTAAATGGAATTACTGAAATCAATCTACTTTTCATGATATTCTAATTTTATGACCAGCACCTGTATATAAAAAAATTCACCTAAGATTGTAATCAGAAGGAATTTATTAATTTCCATTTCTCTTTTTTATTAATTTACTACTGACATACCTGCTCTGATAGTTCTTGTTATTCAGCTAGATGATCAGGAAATGAAATTATTCTGCCCAAAACAAGAACAGACTTTAATTATTTCTTATTTTAAAGAGAATAAAAACACCATAATAATCCAGATTAAAAACTATTCTAGATTACAGAGGTCCATGAAGCATCTGCTCACAAATGAAACCAGTGGGAGTTTACCTGGTTGATTTAATGAGAATTAAACTTGTTCTTTTCACAAAAACTTCAGTAATAAAAAAATAAATAAAAATAGACTGAACGTCAACAGGAATAAAATGAAAGAGAGGATGATGATGATGATGATGATGATGAGCTCTGAATTAGTTGGCTGGATGCAGGGGCGGATTTAGGAAATTTGTGGCCCTAAGCAAAGACAGGCAGGGCCCCTCTGAATGGAGAAGACATCAAACAAAACCGTTCTCCAGATAGATAAATGTTAATAGATTAGACATCCATTATCTGTTCTAGGTTGTGTCCCTCTCTTCTTGTCCCTTTTCTTCTTGTTTTCCTCTCCATGTTTTGTACTCAGCTGACTTTTCATGCTGTCTCTAAAGGAATGAAAGATTTTTTCCAAGCACTAAGCTCACTTAGCTGATTGCTCCTTCCTGTGTTTCCAAAAAGGCCAAAGTAAATAACCCAGTCCTTCTTTTCACTGTAGACAAGCCATGATCTGCTTATCTGTTCTCCATTTTTCATTTGGATGAAATAATAGCTGCATGAATCATGACAGCAGACAAGATAGAGGAGAGCAGGAGGCGGGGTTACCAATCTACTCGCTCTGGAGAGCAGAGTTCGCTGCTTTTAGATGTTGTCTCCAAAGTCTCCAGTAGCAGAAAAAAGTCTCTAGATTTGGCGCTAGGAGCTTTTTAGAAATCAAAGTGCTAGAGGGGTCTGAAAAGTGGCTAAATATAGCGACTAAAGCGCTAAGTTGGCAACGCTGCTCTTTGCATGGTTTGTTTTCAAATGGTTTGCTGCTGTCTGTTTGGACCTTTCTGAACATGTGCAGCAAATGGACTGATCCAATATGGTGGACACTGAAGGGGGGGGGGCTGAGACACACTTAATATTATCAGCCTTCTGATGGCATTTTAGCCAAAAGGATTTTTATCAAAAACATAGTTAATGTGCATAAATTACTTTTATGGGGCCCCCAGGATCTTGGGGCCCCAGTATTGCCCCCACCCCCCCGGCTGGATGGATGACCAAGTGTTAATGCTGGTTTATTATCTTTATCTCTTTAAGATGTGGACTGCTTTAGATTTGTTAGAGCAGCAGATTCCCTATCTGGGAAAAAGGAGATTCAGATCAGAACAGAAACCTGCAGATAGAAACAAACTAGATCTGCTATGAAAACATCTGAACATTTTATTCTGGGATAAACCCGACAAACATGCTAAAACCAACAAAATGAAAGTAAGAAAATAATGTTTTAAAAATGTCTAGAGAACTCAGGAGGGTTTGATTTTAGACAGAAGCAGGGTGCGCAAAAACCATGCAGCTCTCTATAGCGACCCCTGCTGCAGAGCAGCGGCACTGCAGCCAATGAGCGCGCAGAAGTACAGAGTGAAGGTAGAAATGCATCATGCACAGGTAACCAGCCAGAGGCTGAACAAACAGCCCGTAAAACTTTGTTTTTCCATCCAGCAGCTGGAAGCAGGCAGACCTACTCACCTTCCACTGATAATCCCTGTTTGGTCCCAGCTCAGGCCAAGTCCCAGTCCTCCCAGTAGCTCCTCTAAAGTCCCAGTCCTCCCAGTAGCTCCTCTAAAGCATCCAGTCCGTGTGCCGGGGCGCGCAGACCTGATCCCGGACCGGGAGCACAGATCCGGAGGTTGAGCTTCAGCAGGTTCCTCCGCCCGCAGCTCCAGCCGCTCAATGGTGTCTGGGACCGGGAGGCGCTCCGATTCCACCGGCGTCCAAAAGGGGTGGGCAGAGGGGGACGGGACGGTGGTGCCTTCACTGCGCGTGGGATTCCCAAACACCAAAACCAGTTTGCCTCATGGGACTGGATGAGATTCACACATTTATGGAAAATATGGAGAAAACAACCAAAACATATTGAAACACTTTAAACAGAAAGACTACCCAGTTAACAGGGGAGCAATTCATTACAATAACAGTTTAGGATATTTCAAAAAAGTTAAAAAAAACAACACTAGCACTCCCCGGCAAAATAATATACTACTATCAGGTCAATTTTAGGGTTGCAGGGACAAAACCTTAACCCGATGTTTAAGATCTAAACAGGGGATGGAAAACTTTATTCTTTTCCCCCATTACCTTTTAAAACCGTGCTGCAGGCACCAAGGAGATGCTTCTAACAGAGGCGTAAACTTGACTTTCTGCTTCTTCTCAGTGGTGTATTTTATGTTTCTACTTTTACCTTCACTATGAGTTATTTTCATGTTTTGATTTTTTAATCATTCAATTCATCGCTTTTAGTTTGGTCGTTGTCTGCTGCATTCTGATGAAGATTCTCAGTCATTCAGGTCATTTTCATTCCAAAAAAGTAAAAAAACAACAACAATCCTCTGGACTTTGTTTCAGAGTTTGAAGACGTTTCTCTTCCCATCCAGGAAGATTTTTCATTTCAAAATTTCAGAAATAGGGTTTAGTTCCAGGTTTTATACAGCAGCCCAACAAAGCCTGGTTTTAGTTTAGAAAACATGCAAATATTGATGGTTAAATACTGGTCCTCAAAAGAATGTCCTTTGTCCATAAGGTGTAGACGTACCGCAGAGTCTTGTCCTGAGGAGGGCGCTCTCCTGTGTTGGACCATGCGTCTGTGGAGAGGTTGTTTGGTTTCTCCAATATAAAGATCAGAGCATTCCTCCCTGCATTGAACTGCAAACACTCTGCTCAGATTTAGTCTGAGCTTTGGTCTTTAGGATATTTAATTAATCTCATCTAATATCGATTGGAAGACGTTAAATAGCATTAAACATTATTGTGTCGTTTTATGGAAGAAACTTACCCTTAGTTGCTGCTTACATCGAGAGTTTCACTTTTTTATCTGTTTAGCTTCCGCAAAGTTTTATATATGCATTAAACTGGTTTGCAAACAGCAGAGGTGTCAAAGTCTTAATGTTTATTCCTCCAGTATAAATCCTGCTGTTTACAAACACTTTTGTAGAAGTTAGAGGATCAAATTCAGCTTTTTACTCCAGTAAAGTGTAAAAGTACCATGTTTTAAAAACTACTAAAAGTTTTAAAACTACTTAAAGTAAAAGTAATGAAGGAAAAATGTTAGGGAAAGAAGCTTTAAAACTTATACTGGTAGTACGGAAGACAATTAGGGCCACTGAGCAAAAATAAAAAATGGTTAACGGATTTTTTTTATTATGTTTTGGTTTAATATGGGGGGAAAAAGTCAAAATTAGGACTTTAATCTCAGAATTCTGGTTATTTGTCCCATATTTAACTGAAATGAAATAAAAAAATCTGTTAACTTTTCCAATTTTTTTCAGTGGCCTTAATCGTCTTCCGTAGGTTACTGCACTACCCTGTTAAAGGAACATTTTTCTACAATTCTGAATGATAGCTTCCCCAGACTTAATCTTCTTTGTTTTATAACTAATGGTAAGTGTCACATTTAACTTTGCATCATATTGAAACTATTTATTTTGGTTTGTGGTGAGCAACAAGTTGGGGCAGCACCGAGTCCAACCACAAAGAAATTAATTGTCTGGATAACACTAATATTTTTATGGTTTTTAATAATTTTTAAACACCAACAGGCCAAAATAGAAATGAGCTTAAATGAAACCAAACTAAGGAGTCTATTTTTAAAATGTAAGGAGTAGAAGGAAAAAGTTGTCTAAAAAATATTTACTGTAGTAAATTATAGACAGCATTAGTACTGAAGGAAACAAAGTATTTGTACTTTGTTAGTTGACGCCTCTGGCCAACATCAGCTGTAAAAAAATAAATAAATAAATCGTGTCATAATCTTCTTACTGAGGAAACACAAAAACATTATTTCCATGAAATCGTAAATGCAGCAACAGATGGTAGAGAGCTGACTGCTGCATGGCTGTCCCCTACTGGCCATAGTGGAAAATAACATGCATTCATGCAACAGCTTCACCTCTGAGGGGCCGGAGGGACTAAACAGATATGGGCAAAACTTTTCATTGAAGGAAAAAAAAAAAAAGCTTCTTGCTGATGATGTTTGGCTAAAAGCAGAACATGATGAACCAGCAGCACAGAAATAAAAAACAAGCTTACGGCCGAGATGAATTAAGAGACGTTTCCAAGCAGAACATCACTTATTTCAGCCTAAAATAAACATGCTGTGCTGATGCCTGATTCACACCAAGCTTTTCTTGTTTGCTTTTGCTCTGAATTTCAAACAGAAGCTTAGAACTGAGGTATTTCTGGGAAAAGAGGCAAAACGGCTTCTGTTCATTGCAGGGGTCATTTGGTCATTAGTTAGGAAATAAAAATACAGTGTGAATGAGAGAGCCTGTCTGTGTGGGGGCAATGCACGGCATTCACATCCCTGTGAAAAACACTGAGCCATTCATGGTTAGACGCTCTCAGAGAGGAGCGGGCCCTGCTGGGACTGATGGGGGATGGAGGCTCAGGGGGCCGGCTGGGAGCATGGGGGAGGTGTAGGCAGAGATGGGCCTTTTCCCTCAACTTTATTGTCACAGGGTCACAAACGGCGGCAGGCTGCCTGCTTTTTGCAACCAAATAACGACCTTTTACAGCCAGCATGAGGAGCACGCTCTAAAATACACTTCAGCTTTTGCTTTGTTAACATGAACAACCAACTGTCTGGGATCTTCAATCGACACCAAGACAATGTAAATCCCTTTATTGTTCCGCAATGTGGAAACTCACTCTGCATTTAACACATCCCCATGTGGAGCAGTGGGCTGCCATTGGGCGGCATCCGGGGAGCAGTCTGGGGTTAAGGGTCTGGTTCAGGGACCCAGAGTGGAGGCTGTGGGGATCATAGCGGGTACCAGCAACCTTCTCAGGGCACAAGCACACTGCTCTAACCACTAGGCCATCATAAGGTCCAGAATCTGTTCAGTTACTTTGATCTTGGACCTTGGCTATGCCTGCCTCAAGAGCCATGTTGTTTTATTGTTGACGTTTGTCAAAAACGCTGCAAGATTTGGGGTATTGTGTCTTTGTTTTCATTGTAGCTTCCCAGAGATTGAGGTTATAGTGTTGCAAGTGGTACCAAATGAAAGCTAATTTAATTATCTTACATATGGTGCCAAACACGTTTACACCTGTGTAAATTTAACAAATTGTAATTAGTTTTGCTCCGATACTGATACCACTATCAGGTGGGGCTCCGATCCAGCACTAAAATGGTGGTATCGGTATTGGCGAGTCCTAACAAATACAGCAACGATACCATTTTGGGAGTCAAAAGGTTATTAAACTATTGTCACTGTTACATCCCCTGGCAGAGTCTAGGGGGTGTAAGGGACCAACATAAATTTAGACAGTGAATGAAGGAGTGAATAGGGCATTTTAAAAGTCTCTCAGAGAGAGCCCAGGCCAAAATAACAAACAAAACAACCCTAACAAAAAGAAAAGTGGACCTTACTCAATATGAAACCAAAATATACTAAACTACAATATAACCTACCTAACCAACACATAAACAGGAGAAAACTGGGGTTAAACAAAAAGGCAGATCTCCCCTACAAAAAACATCCAAGCAGGTTTACATGGTAGCAATCTTAGCAGCCCATTAGATTAGATTAGATTAGATTAGATTCTACAATGAACACAGAGGTGTGTGGCAGACATATTGCCCAGAGGCCCTGAAGCACTGCTTCACATGCCTTAAATAGTCCTCAGATGATTTTGATTGGCTGAGACTCAGGAAGCAGCAGCCACTCTTAAAGGCGGAGCCTAAAACACAGCATGATGTTAATTGGATGCAAGAAAAAAGAACAACATCCATCATGGGGATGTAACAACCCCACCCATAAGAACAATTGCACACAATCACACCCTTGAGAGTGTGTCTGCTACCACAATGTCACATCCTTTTTTGTGCTTGATATCAATGTTAGAATTTTAAGTGATATAACAGTCACCCATTCCAGGTAGGCAATAAAACTACTGGATTCACTTTGTATTAGTCATTTTTCCTGCTCCACAAAGGCAGGCAGCAGCTTGACAAAGCCACAATGGCAATTATTTTACATCCAAGTAGTCTGCAGTTCTTCATATATACACACACACATCAATTACAAACAGAAGGTATCAGTGTGGTATTGGTATCGGCCAATACTGCACAGTCAGGTATCGGGTATTGGGGCCAAAAAATGGCATCGGCACAGCACAAACATACATATTTTTTATCCAAAAAAAGATGAAAATTTGGATCTAGCATACAAACTAATCAAGCTAGGTGTATATATATATATATATATATATATATATATATATATATATATATATATATATATATATATATATATATATATATATATATATATATATATATATATATATACACTACCGTTCAAAAGTTTAGGGTTGGGGAAAAGTTGGGAGGAAAATAGTAAACAAAGGCAGGAATCCAAAATTCCAACAAATAATGAAAAGCAAACCAAAACTATGGAGACATCTGGGGAAACCAAACACGAGGAGCCAGGGAGAGATGAGGTAGGTAGACAACAGCATGGGAGGACAGCAAAGACAAAGAACCAACAAAGAGTGAGAGCAGAGGGAGAGTATAGGTAGCTGACTGAGACAAAGGCAGGGCTAACAAGCAGATGAGCAGCAGGTGTGAGAGGAGACAACGAAGGAGCCAAGGGGCAAGGAACACACACACAAGAGGGCAACAGAAAAACATGACAACTAACATAAATTTAGAAATTACAACAAAACAGTAATTTTGTTGGCAGGCTGGCGGCGACGCCGTCTCTGACAAAGGAGGGCCTCCGAA